ACGAGGCCTAGTTAACAAGAGGCGGGTACCGAAGAGCCCGCCTATGTCTTGCGACCCGAAACGCACAACGGCCAGGTGGCCGCTCCCGCCCGGCTGGCAGTCAGTAATGTCGTGTGGACGGGGGAGGGGCGGGAAACGCAGGTCATAGTGCGCATGTGAATACAGACGCCGTTTTAGTGGCGTGATCCTCGAAATTAACAGCGCGTGCTGCCGCAGGATTATAAGGGATGGAAGGGGGTACACCTCCCGGCGACACCGTGAGAGACCCCTCCAATTGGTGAGTCTATGTTACTAGAAATGGTGCTCAGAATAGCATGTGAGATCTTTTTTGCGCCGATAATTTCTCGTAATGCATTCGTTTTTGTGGATGATGAAACATATCATGACAAAATTCAGAACGCAGGACGTTTTCAAGGCAGTTGGATGCATCAGCGGTGGCACATCAAGCCAGCATCCCAAAACCAGGCCTGGGAGCACAGGCTAGCGGCGACGCACCACCCAGCTTTGCCGGAACGAGCGGGGGCGCACCAGCGAGTGCTGACGGCAGGGCGAGGAACGGTCCTGTGGGACGGCCCCAGAGGGTTGCGTCTCCGGTGAGACAGTCACCTCTCGTGCGGTCGTCCAGCGGAGGTGTGGGCGCTGCAGTGTGCTGTCGTATGGCCGCGAGCGTTCGGTCACTCGGTTATTTTTGTTTCCTTGTAGTTTAGTAACATTTAGTGTGCCACGGCAGTGCCGTGACCACCTCCGCTGCAGTTATTATTATATATTGACCACAAATGCCACGGCAGTGCCGTGACCACTTCCGCTGCAGTTATTATTATATATTGACCACAAATGCCACGGCAGTGCCGTGACCACCTCCCCTGCAGTTATTATTATATTTGACCACAAATGCCACGGCAGTGCCGTGACCACCTCCGCTAGTCATTATTATATATGACCACAAATGCCACGGCAGTGCCGTGAACCACCCCCCCCTGCAGTTATTATTATATGTTGACCACAAATGCCACGGCAGTGCCGTGGCCACCCACCCCCCCCCCCTGCAGTTATTTTTTTACTTGGGTAGTACTCGAAAACAAGACAGTATAGAACTGGAACAGCTCGCATAAGACCTTCCTTAGCTAGCATCTTCGTTGTCGCCACATTCTCACAGTTTGCACCAATCCACCCTGATTCCTACGCCACCGAAAACCGGAGAACCATCAAACCAAACCAAACCAAACCAAAAGGCCGACACGTCTTCGCTGTGGCCTAGCCCGCGGCCTGCAGCGCCCATTACGCCGTTGTCTTGGACCACGTCCACCACCCCCTCCCCCCTCCGCGACTGCCACGTCACGCGTCACTCAGCCCCAGGCGAGCCGTCCCGTCCGGGGTTCGTTACACCGGCCGTGACCAGACCGGCGAGTCACGGCCGTACATTGGAGCGTTGTCCGTTCTATCAGTCCAACGTCCCGGTTCAAGGCATTCGTCGGTCGCATGAAGTCCCGTGGTTCATTGGTCTGTATTCGATGCATTCAGCACCCAATGCGCGCATCGAATGACACAGATAAGCTTCCTGATAACCCGTGGAGCTGGCAAAGGTGAGCCACCGATGCGGTATTCACTGGTGCAGGGAGTACAAACTGTTGCAGTTGTAGACATTTCCTGCTCCGGATCTTACTGAGTAAATGAGATCGGACTGCACTTCGCACTGAGGGCAACACATTCAAGCTACCATCTAGAACGCTTACTGTGCCTCCCGCTTTGGGACACACTTCAACAGGACTGGGCTCAATAAGGGTAACCATAAAGCATTGTATGAATCACAATGACGAGCCTCAACGCGTGCTCACTTAGGCGGTTCATTACTTGACAGTACAGGTTTAAATAAAACACGCTAATACCGACTCTAGATCACATATATCGAGCTCGGTTCAGCGCATGCCGTCTGTTCAAATCATATCACGAAGTAAGCATGCGCGCCTCCCCGACCGGAGCAGGTGCCAAAACAGGATTTTGAAGGTAACAGCGCCACCTTTATCGTTTGCACCACTCGCACCACCTATAAACACCACAGAGCCGCACTGCGGCCGGCTCGACGTAACAATGGCGCCGAAGCCAGAGGTCGGAGCCGCGTCCACCACACCAGCCCTGACCCTCTTGTCCGGACAGCGTCGGCCCTGGCCAGTACACAGTGTCCCTACACGGTGAAGAGTTGTCCAGTGACGGGGCAGCGGCGGGGGTCGGTGACGCAGTCCGGGTGCACGGTGACGCCGTTGGGGTACACGGCCATGGCGGTGGCGCTCACTGCTCGGTGACACACAGGGCAGTAGCTGCGGACAGAGCGAGAGGTCAATTCAGGTCACCGACAGGGGCAGTGGCCGACGGGGAACCATGCAGTCAGAATGTGTGAGCCGTCATGTGGCAGGTGATGACCCCGAACTCCTGGAGTATTCCCGAGGATCTCAAAGTCTAAAAAGGAAAAGATCACAGAAAGAGTCCATCACTTAACTTTGAACGCGTGATCGCGGTTCAGTGATGCATTTCATGCTGGTGTGCACGAGTTAAAGCCGATTTTAACGTAAATGGAGCAGGTTGATGAAAATGCAGCTCAACACACAACAATCATAACATGAGCATTCACTCGACCTCCCACAAACCCCCACTCGTGCACAGTTGTCCCACACATGTCACAACGAAACTAACCAGTGCAATCCAGGGACAGCAAACCGCTGAAACCCAGCGAACAGTCCACTGAGAGACTCCGTGCTCCGGCCGTCAGGCCCACCCATTCCTCTCCTCACCCCACCCCCCCCCCCCCCTCCCTCACGCACGCCGCCGCTCCCAGGCCCGCGTCCCGGCCGCCAGCCGGTGCACTGACGTGTTGGCCGGCAGGTGGAGGCGGCGGCTGCGGTGCTTGGCCAGCTGGCGCTGCCAGTGGCCGTCCTCGGCCCGCGCCAGGCCGCGCGCCGCCGCCGCCGTGTGCCGCCGGTGCAGGTGTCGGCGCGCCGCCGCCAGCAGGAACGGCCCCACCACGGCCGCCGACCAGGCGTCCGGCAGCGCCGCCAGCGCCCGGCCCAGCTCCAGCTCGCCGCCCCAGACATTGAGCAGCTCCAGCGCCGCCGCCACGCTGCCGGCAGGTCGGGCGCTGTGAGCTCGGGCCGTGCGGTGGACGGGTGACAGGGGACGAGATCTCACGCCATGACGGAATTCAGCACTGTTCAAAGAAGGCCTCGGAGTGCTGACAATGGGGTAAATAGCCCACAACCGCGAATTCATATCTGAAATAAACAAGTTTTACAATTACATGAGATATGCTTGACAAAATGCGGAGCATTGCGGAACAGGGACGTGATGTCCGCATCCTGGAGTCAGATCAAAAAGCACTAGGATTTACCGACATCTCAACACTATTGCAACTTTTGGTTGTCAGCCAATAGCGTGGAAAAGTTCAGGGATTTTTCAGGTAGAAGTGATTATTGGACCGACCACCAGCGCTAGTAAATGTTCCATTTCATTGGCACAACACAGCACGAAAGACAAAAAGCGAAAAGTGTCGCCCGAACAGGGACTCGAACCCTGGACCGTTAGGTTAAAAGCCTAACGCTCTACCAACTGAGCTATCCGGGCCACTGGCGCCATGGGTGCTAAAAGGCCAATAAACCAGGGATGCCTTACTAGCTCAAGCCGCTGCACCTCAAGTCATGTTCGCAACACACGCGGTTACACGCACTGGTTAATTTACATTTATTACGTGTTAAACCTTCGTAGCAATCCCCTACACAATGACGTCTGGTAATAATGGAAGGAATACTAAATGCTTTGTCATGCCAATCACGCACGTAGAAAACCTCTGGTTCTATGATCGTTACAGCCTCGGCATCCCCATTCCCGTCAGCAGCCTCCTTAGTTCACATGCATCGTCCAAAAATGTTGGCTTCAACGGGAAGTGAAGTTCAGAACACCGTGGCGAACTCACTAACCCGATTTTCCCGCAGTGACACCTCATTCCTCACTACAATCGCCCACAACGGACGATTGAACAACTAGTTGCCCACTGCTGAAGCCAAAGTAAGCAATTCGAAGACGAATTGAAATGAGATATGAAACAATGACAACAAGCAATATGTCATGGGCGCCGAGAGGATGGTGCATTGGTTGCGACCTCGTTCATGTTCGTGACCTAAATATTAATTCCGAGATCCAGCTCCAGAGACAATCTGAATACCACACATGGCTGCGTCGGAGTTGGAACTAGTCGGATACCAGCCGGCAGTCCCTCCACACAGCCGTCACTCGGGAACGGAAAAACTGGGACGAGCCACATCAGCCTGGACCCGATGATGACCTCTCGACGGCTGTGTGTACGTCACCCACCGGACTGTTTGCCTGCCGGACCAGCGGGCGACCTAAGGTCACCCCGCGGACCCAGACTGGCTGACACCCGGCGTCAGGTGGATGTCCCACTTCAGTCGTCCAGAACGCCCCTGCGCCCATACACACACACACATGGACGCTCTAAGGCATGCCGACAGTGTGACCATGAGCGGTTTTGTGTGGTTATCTTTTCTCCCCCCGATCATAGTCTTTCACGCTTTTTTCACTTGGGCGCGAGAAAAGCCCGGACATATCCAAGAATGCTGCCGAAAAGGGAGAAGCCCTACAAGCTCATCTACCAGCACCACTGTACCCTACACGGACCGATACCCGTTGTCGCGCGGTGAGCCGCCTCCAGCCGCCGCCCAGCAGTGTTGACTCGCCACTGGCAGGCGATGGACACTCCGCCGCCGCCACATACCGCGGCCCCACGGGCCACCCGGCGGAGCGCGTCTCCTGCCGTTACCAGACCGCGTACGGCTCGGCCGCTGCTGTCGGGCGCTGGACCTACTTGTCGTTGTCGGGGCGCAGGTGCATCTCGAGCAGGGCGTGGAAGAGGCGGCGCCGGAGCGGCGCGTCCGGCCGCGGCGCCAGCTCCAGCGCGAACGCCAGCGCCTCGCCCGGTCCGTCGGCGCCGGCCACTAGCTCCAGCGCCTTCTCGTGCTCCCCCGCCTGCGGCGCGCACGGGCCAGGGTCGAGCCAAGCCGGCGGTGGTGGGCACGGACCGCCGAGCTCACGCGGCGCCGGCACACGCCCACCACCCCGGTAACCCCACCCACGACAGAGCGCCGCCGAGCTCGCCCGACCCCGGCGCAGACGGACCAGCAGGCTGCCCCGGCCGCTGCACACCGGCGACAGGCCTCCGCACCACGCCCTCCTCACCGCAATAGACCGGACCACAATGTCCAGCACCTGCTCACAGATGAGACGGAGCGAGCGCGGGCGCTCCCCTGCACATGATCCCAAGCCCGGGACACCCACGCCGTCACCAGCAGCGCCGGCGCCAGGGCGGCGGGCCGACCACCCAGCCCCGATGCCCCGGACGGAGCGCGTACCCGGGCGTAGAGGTGGGCGGCGGCAGCGGTCCAGCCGGAGCGCGAGCGTGCGCTGCAGCAGCGCCGAGACGCGAAGTGGCGCCGGTGAGCGGAGCAGCGCCAGCAGGCGGCCGGCCGGCGCCGCCTCGTCGCCGCCCAGCTGCCGGCTCTGCGCCGCCCGGTCCAGGTACAGGCCGGCCAACTGCGTCGACAAGCGCTCCGACTGGGGGTGGCCGAACGACGTCAGAGGCGGCGGGCACGGGTGTCGGATGAGGGGGGGGGGGGGGGGCGATCGTCGTGCTGGGGATGAAAATCACGGACGACCTGGTCGCATGACGTTTTCAAAACAGATGACCGGCTTGGCCATTAACTGGCATGAGCTGACGTGACAAGGCGGCCCGATCCGTACCAGAAAGCAGACGTCGACGAGGCCGGACACCGCCGACCGGTAACACGAGCGCCACAGTACCCGAGCGAGACTGCGCCTGTCACGTGTGATCACAAGTGACCCAGTGCTGCGGCGCACCTGCTCGTGTTTGTGCAGCACCCGGTCCTCGAGGTAGAGCGTGAGCGCGGCCGGGTACCGCTTCAGGAAGGTACACGCCTCGTCGGCGGCGAGCGCGCCGGCCGCCGACCGCGCGATGAACACGCGCGCGCCCTGCTCCGGGTCGGCCTCCAGCATGCAGTCGGCGAACCGGCGCACCAGGCTGGCGTCCTCGACGCTGCCGGGGAGGGGAGTCAGACTCAGCGCGCCGGCCCAAGCCCGCGTCCGGCCGCCGTGCGGAGGCGGGCACCGGCAGCAGGCATGACGTGGGGGCGTCCCACACATAAGCTGTGGCCTCGATACTACGACAGGACAGCAAACCGGATAGAACCGGTGAACTCAGATGCTGTTTACTGTCACCAATGCAGTGAGCACGGAAAACACAGGAATAGCAAAAGGGCTAGGGCCCACGCTACATCTTAAACATTATCAGACGATTCAACAACTTATCCGCCCGCACATCTATCCAAACAACGCCGCAGCAGTTAACAGCCACCACCGGCCCGCTCGGTGCAGCTAACCTGGCGAGCGCGTCCGCCATGAAGCGCAGGGCGGCGCCACCGTCGCCCGCCTGCCGTCCCTGCACGACGTCGGTCCAGAGAGCGAGCGCCGCCTCGGTCTGACCGGCCGTGAGCAGCAGCTGACCGAGCGCGGCGGCCTGGCCGGCGGCCGTCAGCGGACCCGCGCAGCGGGCCGTGTCACACACCGGCCGCCGCTCGCGCACGAACTGCGCCAGCGCGTCCGGCCGCCCGGCCAGCAGCAGCACCAGCGCCGTGTCCACCTCCTGCGGTGCGGGGGCTTGGGTCAGAGGCCCACCTCCCGGACAGGGCACGGCCACGGTCACGGCCCGTGGGTCAGGCGGTGCTGAGACGTGTACGGCACGCTTGTATAGGCGAAAAAGTAGCTGTTCCGTCACCTTTCGGCAATTGAATTCGCCCATCAAAATCTGGTCTTCTCCCTGGGCCAGCATCGCAGTGGACGGACCCAAAGAGAATGCGAGCATTTGGTCACGACTTGGAAACAAGCGCACTGAAGCGACGCCAGGAATCCAAACAGCGCTGATGCCGCCGCCAGCAATCGCTATCTGCGAGCCTATGCTGAGCTCTAAAAGACTACTTCAAAGTGGTAGTCATGCAACTTCAAAGTAAATACCACAAGGATCAAAAACTTCAGACCTGAGACAAACCGGTCAAAAGTGTGTGAGACTATCGCTTACATGCCAAACTATCCACATGTGCTTTCGGCGGCTTAGTGAACATCTGACATCCATCCACGTTTGCGGAGAACTGGCCCACGGGCAGCGCACCGCCGATCCGCTCGCGCGCGCTCCCGCCGTCGCGCCGGCCGGTCGTACCGTTCTGTTCGGCGCCTCGTCGCGCGCCAGCATCAGGTGGTGCACCAGGAACTGTCGGCGCTGCTGGTCGGAGAGGGCGGCCAGGGCGGGCACCTCGGTCAGGACGGCGGCGGCGGCGCCGACGCCGCCGGCCGGCAGCAGGTCCGGCACCAGGCCCATCAGCTGATGAAGGAACAGGCGCCGTCAGTGGAGCGGGCGGCAAGCAAGCTGGATACACGGACCGGACCACCGGCTGCTGCTGCCGCTGTCGCCGGAGGGGGGGGGGGGATGAAGCCAATGTAACTTAGCGAATCGAAAGCTGTGTTCAGCAGACTGACCCGTGCCCCTAGATTGTGTGATGGTGGATATATTCCTTTTGGGGGCATACCATTGTTGGTGCCATCCGACCGACACGTGCCAAGTGTCACTGCCGCAGCACACGGCAGGCCGCCACAACACGCCATTCAGTAATGTGGCGGCCTGCCCATCACTGAATACGTGACACGCGTGACACGTCTCAGCCGTGCCCAGCCGGCAGTGTTCCGGCGCCTTTCAGACCGTGGTCCGCTGTCCGCCACCCCAGCCAGCCGGCACAGCACACGCACACACACCAGTCAGCAGACGGCGGTGGCGGACTGGGGACTCACCTCCGCCGGCCGGACGCCGGCCTGCAGCAGCAGGTCGGAGGCTTGCTCGCCGCGACCGGCCGCCAGCAGCGAGAGGCCGAGCAGGCGGCGCACGGCGGCAGCGGCCGGCGCGGCGGGCCGCGCGCCCTCCAGCAGTGCCGCGGCCGCCTCCAGCTCGCCGGCCCCGATCAGCGCCTGCCGCGCACGGGCTCAGGTGAGGCGGGCGGGGGGATGAGGCGGGTCGGCAGACCGCGGGCGGACGGCGGCACTCTGGGCAGCGGTGGGAGCGCCGGCGCGCCCACCGTGCACGTGCCATTCCGTGCAGAGTGCCGGCGCACTGCACGGAATCACATGATCGCGCGCCCCGAACGAGCTTGAGAACTGGAGAAGCGAGACAGGAGTCTGAACTTTGACCTGCGGCTACCCTGTGGCGGGGCTGAGTGAAGAAACCTACCCGGACCACTTCAGCTTGAGGGCGCGGGGCAGCGGGGTAACAGTTACGTGTCGGAGACTTGCGCTGGCAAGAACCCCGAATAGCGCCGTGCCCAAGCTCGCCAAAGGTGGGGCAGGGGACCCCACAGCTGACATTTGAATTCGCGACTGCCAGGGGACCCGAGCGGCATCCTCCCTCGAGCCCGAGCCCTCCGCGCACAGGAGCAGCTCTCGCACCCAAGCCTGCTCCCGCCAAGGTACCAAATACGTATCACACTTGGGCCGGCGACCAGCACGGGCCGGGCACATGGGGACAGGTGGCGTCAACCTGGGACCTGTCCCGACAGGGCACTTAGCGGGGGGCGCCAACTCCGACCACGTGTCGGCCGGCAGACCGGACGGGCCAGAGCACGGGCCGCGCCGTACCTGGACCTGCGCCTCCCACGGCACCGGGCAGAGCGCGAGCACGGTGTCGCCGGCGCACGCCAGCAGCGTGCCGTCGAAATTGTCCAGCAGCGCCGTGTCCGGCACGGCCAGCTCCTGGCGCCGCTGGCCATCCAGCGCGCTACGCACCGACGGCGGCGGGAGGTCAGAGACGGTCCTCAGGTCAGGGACGAGGGACGCAGCCGCAGGCCAGGGACGACGGACGCACCCGCTGGCCAGGGACGAGGGACGCACCCACTGGCCAGGGGCGAGGGACGCACCCACTGGCCAGGGACGAGGGACGCAGCCGCTGGCCAGGGACGAGGGACGCAGCCGCTGGCCAGGGACGAGGGACGCACTCACTGACCAGGGATGAGGGACACAGACATAGGCCAGCGCGGCGCTTCTGCACGCGCTACGATCATGACACACGCGGTGGACAAAAATGCAAGGTAATTCAGACACTATAAAGGTTAAATATGCTAGCACTGAAACTGAAAAAACTTTTCCCTTCATTTGCGTTATCTTGCTTCCAGCTAAGGTTCTTGACTTAGAGTCAATGGGATGATTCAACACACGCACCTAGACATAGAGAAGCCGCTATCTGTGAGGTGATAATGACCCCGGTCACCGGTATCCCCCGGCTTGTTACGGCAGTTGCTGGGCCTCACCTGACTAGGGTGATACCGCTGCTGTCGGAGGTGATGATGTACGGGTGCTGGTAGGTCCAGGCACGCACGCCCGGCCGCAGCTGCACGGGGGGCCGCTCCGAAGTGCCCGTCATTAGCGCGAACATGGCCAGGCCAGACGGACCGAGCACGAGAAACTCCTCCTGGAACACGACAGCGCGCTGTGAGGAGCGCCACGGCCGCTGCCGACCCTCCGACCACAGTAACAGATCCGAGCCGCCGCAGCGCCCGAGGGTTGTCGGAGGTGATCCCTGCCAATCAGACGGCAGCCGTCATCCGTACACGGTACAGCTATGAAGATCTGAATACTCTCCTCTTTCCTGCTTGAAAGTCCTTCTTGCAGCACTTGCGTATGCGTCGTCCGAGCCGTTTTGGCAAGCTTCAAACCTTCCCCATTTCCCAATAATGCCATTGCGCCATTGTTCTTGCCCGTAGCGTTTAAACGGCACGCTAAACAGAATGACGCCTTTTGTGGGGCTGGGAACCGCATACTTGAACCTCTAGCATTCCAGTTTGAGACAATCGGTCTATATCAATAAGTCCCCACCCAGCCAACCCGTGTGCCTTCTTGACGCAGGGAAACATCCACAACCGTCTCAGACTGTTCCCGGCACCGACTGCTGGGCACGCATGCAAACAGTGCTGCGACACTTGCTCCCCACCAATGGGAACAGCTCCCTTCGCAGTGCCCCTGCCTGACTGACGCCTCTAACCCCTGCCGGTCGGAGCCGCCCACATACCCGACCGACATCAAGCACACCACTTCATCTGATTGACATGGGACGACACCCCTGGCCAGCCAAGTCGTGACCTCGCCGGCCTGGCGTCACTGCCAGGCGCCGCCGCCCCGCACCTGGTGGATGGCTCTGACCAACGGCCGCACGCTGGCCGGGTCGAACTCGAACAGCGGCTGGCGCCGCCCGCTGGACAGCTGGAACACGAGGTAGCTGCCCTCCGACGGCTGCGCACACGGCGTCGCCGTTCACGGCCAGCGCGTGCACGCGCTCAGGGCACGGCCAGCTCGCGCACCGGCTGCAGGCCGGCCTCGGTCACGTCCAGCACCACCAGCTGGCGCCGGCGCGCCAGGCACACCTGGCCGAGGGGGAGGGGCATGGGTCAGAGCAGGCGGCGCCGAGCTGGGGGAGGTGAGGCGCGGTGAGACGGACACAGACGCCCGAGAAGAACAGGAGACAGACAGGGGGCGAGGGCAGACTGCACGGTCGTGAGGCTTACCTGGCAGATTTGAGGGATCACGAATCAGGGATCGATGTGGGAAAAGTTAGATGACACAAAATCAAATACGCGCATGACATAGATCAGTACGAACATGCCTTAACGCACGGCAGAGCGACCCAAGCAGGCACGACAGATTTTCCAGCCAAATCAGGTTCAGAGGAGAAGAACACGCAGACCCGGGGACGGGTGCCGAGACCATACAGCAAGTGGGGGACAGTGGGTTGGTTCACACAACCATTGACCACACTACCGAAACAAATCAAATATTGTGCGGACACTATTTATAAAGCGTGTCACGCACCGCATTTTTCAAAGCACGCAAAATCCTACAAATGTGGTCTTGCACGCATAATTTTGACACATATGGCTCGTCGCGCTGCAATAATACGGAACAGCCCTTAACAGGGGCTTTTACATGACTTACATGCTCCTTAGCGCGACCAATAACAGATGAGCATAAAGCCGCCAGCTCGTTGCCAGCCGGCCGTCACGCGCCACTTGACCTCACCCCCGGCCCCGGCCCCGGCCCCGGTCCGGCCGCCGCGCCGTGCCCACCTGTATGGAGAAGGGGTGGGCCGTGCGCGGGTTGGCGTTGACGGCCAGGGCGGTGACACCGCGTTGCCGGGCGTAGCCGTCCACGGGGGAGAGCGAGGGCGGCGTGCACGGTCAGCAGCGTCTCGTCGACCAGAACCAGCAGCCGCTCCAGCGCCGACGCCAGGCACAGCCGAGTCACCGGCGCTGCCGGAGGGAACGGCCGGTGTTACAAGGGCCTGCCAGAGGGGACGACCGGTGGTCACCGGCCCCATGCCAGAGGGGAACGGCCGGGGGTCACCGGCGCCTGTCAGAGGGGACGGCCGGGGTACCGGCGCCTGCCAGAGGGGGACGACCGGGTGTCACCGGCGCCTGTCAGAAGGGGACGGCCGGAGGTCACCGGCGCCTGACAGAGGGGGACGACCGGGGTCACCGGCGCCTGTCAGAAAGGACGGCCGGGGTCATGGGGACCTGCCCAGATGGGACTGCCGGGGTCATGGGGACCTGCCAGAGGGGGACGGCCGGGTCACTGCGCCTCCCCGAGAGCGACGGCCGGGATCACGGGCGCCAGCGCCGGCAGGTGGCCGTCACGAAGGCGGGCTAACCGCGGCACCACGGGCCGTGGGCGGGTCAAAGGGTGTTGTGGGACAGGGCGATAAGGAGCCGTGTTCCGCTTCCGCATGACGGATACACTGATGAGTGTTAACGCACTACGTGGACGAGGCCCTACCAGGGGCCCAACCGGCATCAATGGGACAGGGACGCCAATGTCCAAGAGAAGCTGCAGGGGAAGGTGGACATCAACCTGATTCAAATACAACACTCACCAGTGATAATGATTTGATGCGCCGCGGGCAGTCAGTGGTGAATTGAAACTGGTGCAGGTCAGCGTTACGCACGAAATCGTAATGCCGTCGAAATCACCACTGCAATGCATCCATCGCAGTAAAATATTCTACGCGTGATTTGGCAATTCCATCAACCTTAGTTTTTGACTAGGCAACGGGTTTAATAAACAGCTACCGCAATATGAAAGCAGCCGCCCGCCGGGACAATAGCGCATAACATATGAAATATTAATATAGTAAAATGAATAAGGTTTCAGCGCCATCTCATCACAATACCAACACTGACAACCCTGTAAGCAGCAGCGACTAAACGTCAACAAGGTCCGCCCAACGACGCCCTGACTGAGCGTCGTGTTTTCTGATGAAAGCAGCCAGGTCGCCGACATGCCGTCGGCCGCCGTCTCTCTGCAGCCCAGCGCCTGGCAGACCGGAGGCAGAGATCACTCCTGTGGCCGGCACTGACCGTGCCGAAGACCTTGAAGGTGAGCAGCGCGCTGGAGGGCGGCACGGTGCGGTCGTGCTTGTCCACCTGGTACTGGTAGCGCAACACCAGGCCGGACGTGGTGCCCAGGTACAGATCGACGCCGCCCGCCTCCACCGCCGATATCTGCCGCCAGG